CCACACCCACACCCACACCCACACCCCCACACCCACACCCACACCCCAAGTCTATTCATATGTATTTCTAGGATTGAGTTCCTGCGACAAAATTAATTGGTGAAAACTAAGAATTGGTACTATTAGATTGAACTTCTTTTTTTTTCAAGAGTTAAATAGGTTTATTTTAGATTTCTTTTTATTCTAACTAAAAAGAATTGAAGAAATCAAGCAAAAAAGTATAAATGAAAAGCCAAAAAAAATAATTAGCATTATTAATGAATATATAATAAGAGATTAGTTATTTATATTGGGTTAGTATATAAGTTTTTGCTAATTTTTTTGTTTATTTGTTTTCACTTAACCAAGTGCACCAGTTTTATATATTGATCATTGACAGATAAGACTAAATAATAATTAATAAATAGAACCTTAAAATTGATCATTACTAGTTTTCTTAAATTCGAGTATTTTATCCAGAAGATTTTCGCGCAATTGCGAAGAAGCTTTGACACTTAAATTACCTCTTTCCTCACAGAAAAAGAGAAAATAAAACTATGTATAGTGCACGTTAAGACCGGTTAAACATTGTTTGTGTGACAAGTATTGATGAGGAAATTGGAAGGACAAGTATGATGAAATATTACACTTCGTCAGTCTAGGATTGAGTCAATCAATTTTCGATGAATTTTACTTATTTATATTACAAAACAATGATTGATGAATACATGGAAATTTAAATATGAAATATCTGTTGAGAAGAAACTCTCTCCACATTTGAACTATGTCTTCTGTGATCACTCATAAACTTCGATGATAATTCAATATGTATCCACAATCTATTATTCGATTAGATACTTTGAACAAAAATAACAAATTAATATAAGAAATATCTATTTAATAAGACAACAAATCTTCAAAAAATCGAATTACTAGACGAGTTTAGTTGATTATGCTAAATAATCTTTAAAAAGAAACTCGAATAAGAAAATCTAGTATATGTTATACTATAGCCAGATCTAAAGTTATGTCTTAGAAAACTCTACTGACACGATCTTGATGCTAACACTGTATGCATCAAATTCTCAACTCTTTTAAGACATGTTGAATCACTAAAGTAAAATTCGACCTTGGAATTCTGCTGAACTTGATGTCCGTACTAATATTAATGTGGAAGATAGATACTTATTTTGCTCTTCTATTAAGTTACTGTTTCTTATTTTATTTTTATTAGAATGGAATAGCAAGTTTCATAGAATAATCTGAAGATTTCATTTAAATTTATTGGCTTTTATCAAGAGCCTTAAAAAAAGGAATTGAAAACAATATCTTGATTCACTCTTGTTCTTTGTGGCCAATAAAAAGTAAACTCTAATGGGTTTTTTGTTAATCAGTATCTTTATTTATTTTGTTCATCGCATATCTCTTATCAGTCAATCCCTCATATAGTAATCATTGTAAAGTTTTATTGTAGATTATCTGACATTACCGTTTAGCTTTAGGGGAAGCTATGCTACATATATGTTAAATTTGAAAGTTTAATTCAACAACTGAACAATTTATTTATTAGATAAGTCTTCTCTTGGTGAAGGTGAGAGAAAAATACAAACAAAGGTCAAGAAGTTATACATGGGTTATGTCTTTGTTAGGGGTGTAAACAATATTATCGTGAAAACTGCGATCCATGATGTGCCGCCTAGAAATGAACAAGACAGAGAAAATTGATATGCTCTCTTTTAAATATGTTCATGAATCACGTTACAGTTTTACTCAGTCATGTATGATTATGATATTGGGTTATTGACAATTAGACATAATATAGGCCTTATTTTGCTTTTTTTTTTTAAAGTAAATAAATGATTAAATAATTGAAAATTTCTTCAATTATTGAATTCAACTTTTAGATTTGACATGATCAAAATTATTTAAAAAATTTCTGATCATTGATAGAGAAAAAAATCAATTTAAATCTTTAGATCACAAATCTCAATCGTTTCATCAACGATCGAAATTTTGCGAAAATTTTTCATTGTTTGTTGAGATTGATTTTTTGGGATTGAGAAGTAAATGCTCACAATAGCTTATCTTTTTTAGTTTATTGATAGTGAAATGCAAATGATAGAAGTTTAATTTAGTGTCTTTATGGCATGTTTACCCTTATGCTTACACCTATAGTATTACACAATCAGTGACAGAACCAGGATATCGAGCTAGAGAACTCAGCTCATCTACGAGCGTTTGATCGGTTCCTAATGAATAAAATAAATGTATGAAGGATATTTTTCAATATATCCATTTTTTATTTGTTATTAGTCCACCCAGACGCAAGGATGGGGTGGGGGTGGGGGGATGTAACAACGTGCTTTTTATAACACGTACGAATTTTTTTATGCACATGGTTCGTGACATTAGAAGATAGATGTTGCTTGTTAAAAATTTTAATCCTTCACTATAGTACAAGACAGAAATTTATTGCTGAATAAAATTATCTTTTTTCTGATAGTCAAATAATAGAGAGAGGAAAATTTACACTTATTAAAATACATACATTGATTGTTTTTGTCTTCTATCAAGTACATATTTAACCCTTAGATATTACTATTCATACAGTAACAAGCCTATTGATATAGACAAGAGACCCTCTTATTTTTTATATACGCGTGCAACATCTTACCGATCCACAGCTTTTCCTAAGATTTGATAACAATGTCTTACAAGCAAGCAAGATCTTATACAATCTTAGCATCGAATTATTTGTCATGGGTAGTTCACAGCAGTAAAAAGGATAAGTACTTATTACTTAACACGAGTCTTTTTTTTTGATCGTATCTTTCTCTTCATCGGATATAAATTAGTTAGACTATTTTAAATCTTCACTTTTAAATAAGTTTAAAACTTTTTCTTTATCAAATGATTTGCCCTTAATTATTGACCCAAGAATTAGTGTAGTTAGGTATACATTCAAGCTAATAATAATATTTCCACTTTAGAATTACTTTCTTTTTGCCCTAGTTTCATAGAGATGCTCTTTAGTCATTATATTCTATGATTAAGTTTCCACGAAATCACATTACGCATTCGATTGTATTGAAATAATATTTAGAATTCTAAGTCTTTACCGTAAATGTAAGAAAATAATATCATTCAAAATTTCTCCAAAATATACTCACCATTGTAGAGTATTTTAAATTTTTTATGTACACGCATCTGGTCAACAGCCCGAAAATTTTCGTAATGTTCAAGGACTTCATCATAGGAAAGGTCTGAGCAGAAAATTTAAAGTATTTCACAAGTAAGAAAATGCTTTAGAGAAATTTCGGACGATTATTTCAAATAATAGTTATATTATCGTCTTACATTTACGGTGAAGACTTCAAATTCTAAACAATATTTCAAAGCAACCGAATGTGTAGTGTGATTTCGTAGAAAATTTAATCTTAAAATTTACTGACTAAAGAGTATCTGTATGTAGCTGGAGCAAAATAGAAAAGTGAGACTTGTTACGTACAAAATACGCGTGCTTGGAAAGCATTAAGTTTTCTCAATGTTAGTGAAAAAAAATTGGCAAATAATTTTTTCCAAACTTATTCGATCTAAAAAATGCTGAATTTATTATGTTCAGCCTTCTTTAAATAATTTTGAATGTTATGATAAATATTTTTTATTCATATTACAACTTGGAAACTCTGAGTGAAACTTTTAAACGATGCCTTAGAATGTGTATTAACATATATTTAGACTGGTCCGAACTATACCACAACATAAGACTACAATCTGTTAGATGCATCGTCGCGGACGCTCTTCCTTTTTTGATTTAATGTCTACTTTGAACGGGTCTCCAGATGGCTCAGCATGCCTAGTCTTTTTTAGAAAAAAGACTAGATAACTTTAGAAATGTCAATGACTTCTGTTTGTATAGTCAGGATGCTACATGTGAAGGTAATTAACAGTAGATTTGAGTATTTTTCTCGAACATTTGCTTCTTGGTAAAGCAGACCCTGCATTTTTATTGTAGCATATGCTATACCATCCAGACATTTGTAGTTCTGAATCTGCAAAGTGAAACACCTTTGATAGTTAATTTTATTGTTAGATAATTTTAAAATGTTTTGCGCAATTATTATGACAATTAAAAGTAGGCAGAAATAATTTTATGTTTTCGAGGAATAAAAAAAACGTCACTTATTACTTCAATCAGTGTGTAGGAGAAATAGGCGAAGGTGGTGCCAATCTCGAGGACAGAGCTGCACAGATGTTACCAGGTGGATAATCAGAACAAACATTTCCTGTTGAACCGTCAAAATCGCCTGGAATACCATCATAAGTTTCATAATTGAGATCGAATTTATGACCATGAAGACGGTCGTCTATCAATATCAATCTACCACCCCATACACTTACACCAGCACGATAATTGTCGTATACGTTGCTTGTATGTAATTCGATCGGTTCCTTGTTCTTCATTGCTACAAACCCATCACCATAGGTATCGTCTGATTTGGGACGTGCATTTCTAATCCAGCTATTAAGGACAACAACGGAATATGAATTGGAAATGAAAACATTGGCTATTCGATTATTGTCAAATGTGCTTTCAGTTATTACTAGTGGACCACTGAGCGTATCAAAGATAATAAGACCACCATTTTCATTATCGTGACAGAAAATATTCCAAAAAATGAAAGGCCCAACTATTTCATGTATAATAAGTCCATTTCCACTGTCTAAAATGAAAATATCGTGAACGGTTATGCCTTGATCCGCAATAAGACCCAGCAATTCAATAGAAAACCACTGCGCTTGAATAACAATAACTCCAACAATAGAAAGTTTAGTAAATCGATTGATCACACCATTCCCAATTTTTTCGAAGGTACAATTCAAAATTTCGACCTTGCCAGGAGGATTTTCTTTATCGTTACGAGAGCCACTAATACCAGTTGTATTTGTTCCCGTAAAAATATGCCTTTGACTTGACCACCACCACCATTTCTATATAAAATAGCAATATTGTTTACCAAAGGTTGAAATTGAACAACGTGATCTGAGTTTTGAGCAATTATAGAAACGAATTTGTTTTCAATGATAAGTGATTCTGTGTAAATACCAGGTTTAATCATTATTATTGTATGATTGGCTACATTGTTAATTACTTGTTGTAATTTTAGTTGATTGTCAGATGATGGAAAAACAATGATAGTATCGCTACTACTGGCAATCGAATAAAGTGAAATAAAACCAAATAGAAATAATGGAATTTGCATCTGAAATGCATGTGAGAATAAATAAATTGGTTTGATTATGCATCGATATATGGTGGGAAACGAGATGAGCTATATCGTCAATATCTAGTGAGAGAACACTCATATGAAGCCGAGCAATGACACAGTATGATATATGCGTGAGATACACCATGGTGAAAAATCTGTACAATTTCAAAAACTACTCATTCTATAAATTTTGAATATCCTCGCAAAACTCGATGATAACATTTATATATTGAAGATAGAATTCATTGACTGGGAATAAGTAATGTTTCGACTCGATATAAAAACTGATCACATAATCATAACAGAATGATTAGTAACTGTCAATATTATACTGAAACCAGGAGTTAATATATATGAGGCGAGAAGATGAAAAACTGCCGTGGGCGAGATAAGAGTAAAAAAAAAAGATTGAGACTTCTATTAGGTAAGATCAGAAGAGGTAGAACAACAGCATAGCAAGACCAAAGTATAGTGTTCTTAGATATTTCAAGCACTTTAATATCTGTCAAATAGATTCAAAGTCGATTTTTCCAATGTGCCTTCTTTCATCTTGCATTATAACAACTAGTCGATCTTTACACATAGTTATATACTTTTTCTTTGCTATACCTGCTTCAAATTCTTTGTCGAGGAGACACAATGAAACGATAAATGGAAAAGTAAATCTCAACTCTCTTTCCACGGAATAGAAGTTCAGTAAACTCCCAATTTGTTTTGCAAGTCAAAAGTTTGAAAGTGAACTTCTATTACGACCAACTTTTTTTTTTATGTTATAATTATGCTTTCATTAGCTTAAAAGTATAGATGTGTTTAACAATCAATAAATCTCATATTGTGTGACCAGTTTCAAAATACCCATAATAGTTTCTATAGAACCCAAAGTTGACTCTCAGTTCTGTTTCGATTCCAAATCATTAAATAAACAAAATAATGAGTTCTCTACGCTACTTTTCACATTCATATGCTCATCGGTCTTCACTAAAGCTCAAGATCTGACATATAAGCTCTAAACTAGTTGATCATATCAATAAAAACGAAGTGTTTTGCATTTACCAGTTTAAAGAAATAAGGAGTCATTGTATGATTGCTTTACTTTCTGAGTCGGATGTGTGTACATACTATGAATGAATTTGTTTCACTGAACGACATTCTCTTTCAACCTATCCTACATTTTTTTTACGAGTGAATGATTTTGTTTCATCATTACTCGTCCTTGACAAATGATTACTTATCACATAGGTATAGATATAGTATTATTCAAGATGTATCATATCAACAAATAGGATATTTTTAGAACGAAATAAACTGCTTTTTAATGACTTTAATTTCGATCATTCATTATTTTGATTCTACCCGACTGTTTATCGTCTCCACGTGTGTTTGATTACCAGCTTAATCGAAAATAATGCAAAAACGAACAAAAACCAATGATGTACAGGTGAGAGTGAAACACGCTTGCTGTATTTCTATATTTATTTCAAACGTAATATTCGATATAGAAAGTGCACAACGAAAAAGAAAAAGGCATGTAATTAATTGATTAATATTTTATAATGAATAATAAGTATATATTTTTCAAATGATCAGTATTTTTTGATCAATAAAAAATTTTTTTTAGCACAGTAAATAATTCGAAAGCTCAGTAGTTAATTTAGAAAAAAATCAGTATTTAATTTTCTTTTGATCAATATTTCATTTTTGTTTGTTCAGTTTTTTATTAATTTATTTCAGTAATGATGTATAATTACAGCTAACAGATATTTATTGAATCAGTAATGTTTTTTTGGCTTCTGATGGTATATCACGACGTCGTTTTTTTACCGATTTTCACATCATTAGCAGCAGGTGGTGGTTTGCAGTAGTTTAATCTAATTACCATACCGACGATATGTTTACACATCAATTTTCTAAAAGATGCTCGATAATCGCAGACATTATCTAACAGAGCTAGACAAGTCAAGTCTGACTTAGTTTGACTTGGTCGAAAAAATTTTAGGGTTTGACTTGGTTAAAAAAATCTTGAGCACTGACTTAACTTGAAATTTTTTTTACTGGCTTAACTTGACTTGTGACTTGAAAACCTCTTACGTGCCCAGCTCTTCCATCTAACCATTTTAACTCACCTACTGGTAATGTAACAGACCAAATATTAAATGCTTTTATTTTTCAAATAACAGCTATATATGTATCAAAACCAACTAGGAAAAAGAACAATGACACTTGAAATAAAATATGAAGAGAAGAAAAGTACATAATTTATACCAAGATAAGAAAACGTTTGGAAAATACCTTAGAATGAAGGAAAGCAAAAGGAGAGAAGAAAAAATATTTTGACTGATGATGTCATCATCAGTCAATGTGAACAACAATTTATCTATGTATACCAAAATATTTTCATCAAAAAAAAATGATTACTAATTAGATAATGTTTATTCAATGAGTGAATGAATTTTTAAATGAGCAAAATGAATTAGTTAGTAATACTTTAATTTTAATACTGAACAAATTATTAATTTATTGATCAAATAATTAGTTAACTGATCAAATACAACAATTATTGAACATCAAATTTTCTACTAATAGTTTGATCTCTTTACTGCTAATTTGTATATGTCGTGCCGAAGTTACACTCTTTGCCGAAGTTGTAACTTCGGCAAAAATTTTGTCGAAGTTACAACTTCGACAATATAACGTTTGTCGAAGTTGTTCCTAGTAATTTCAATGATATTATTGATTAAAATAAATATTTTATTATTCTTAAATAAATTTATATAAAATGATGATGAGCAAAAATATATTGATTATATTATTGTTCACTGAGATTTTCTTGATTAAACATTTTTTAGCTTATTTTATAATATAGGTTTTATTTATTGAATAAAATGTTTTTCTTTTTGTTAGTTCGAAGATGATAAAGTTCATTAATAATAATCTTATTATTTAATATAAAACTTCGAAGTTCTATTTAATTGATTTAACTTATGATTGATCATAGAATAACTATCATAAGTAGATACTTATCATTGACAAATTAGATTTAAAATATTTAAGATTAAATATTATATTTATGATTAGAACGAATTTGCTTTTAATAATATTAATAGAAATTTGTAAATATTGATCGTATAGATTCTAAATCTAACGATAAATGTCAACTGCTTTACAACATTTATATTTCGAACTTGATCGATAATATATATTTTTCAAAAAATTTCAATCGTTTATATTTTTATAACGTTAACTCATGATTAACATCTATTATCTTTGTTTTAGGAAGAAAATAATCTATTATTCGAGAATATATCAACGAGTTAACAAAACTCTTTAAATCAATAGGATATCTTTGTTCTAGAGAGAAAAAAAAATATTCTCTTTAGTTGTATGGAAGCATATTAGAATTTAAATAAATAAACCGTTAAACTGTTAATTATAATCAATTATATATTGATATATAAGTAAATTTTATTGATTAGCCGAGGAAATAAATAATAAAATTAAATTCTATTTATAGATGAGACTGAATTAGAGAATCTATTTTCATTATTAGATTATTTTCTTTTTAAAATCCTATTAAAACTAATAATCTATTGGTAATGATAACATTTTATATTGATAAATATATATATAAAATAGATTTATTTTATTTTAAAATAAAAGAGAATTTATTTAATTGAATAATCATTTTATTGAGTAAATAAATAATTATTTTCTTTCAGTTTTTTTTTTAATATAAATATTCAAGAAAAAATAAATTAAAAAACAATATTGAAAAAAGTTTTAGATGTGATAAAAGTCAGTTCGAAAGTAAAATATGAAAATTCTAAGAATTTAAAAAGAAAAAAAAGACTAAAATATAATATTTCATATATTTCTAATAGTATGATAGAAATATATCAGTTAAGATATATCCTATTAATATAATTGAACTAAAACAAATATCTCATTTATATATAATAATGATTAACAAACTGCACTAACACGATCTTTATTACTATTTAAATAAAACTGTTTTAATTAAATAAATTGAACTAAATTGTAATATTTTGTTCAATTGATAGTCAAACATATCAACATATATTTGACCCTATTCATCAAAATAGATTTAGTTTATTAAGTAAAAAAATTTAAATCTAGAATATTTATTTTAGTCTTCATTTATTTAAATATTATTTTAAAATTGAGATATTCAGTCGGGATAACATTTGAGTATTTTCCTTTATTTTCTTTTTTTTTTAATATATGATTAAGTCTAGCGTCATTCATTCAGTCAAGAACCTCACAAATATTTAACAAAAAAAATAAATTGTCGAATTGATTTATCATAAGATTAACGGTTGAATAGTTTCGATTAAAATAACTATATCAAATGAGAATTTTTTATAATTAAACTAAAATACATTGACAAAATTTTAAACTTATTTAACAATTAAAAGGAATTCGATATGCATATAACCATAAAGTTCTTGTCTAGTTATGAAATTCGTTGTAACGAAGATAATAGAACTCAACTCAATTGATATTTGCTTAATTACGAATAAGTTTATCATCAAATTAAATATTAAAATATGTTATCTATTCGTTTATTGTTGTTTCTCTTCTTCATATTGACTAGATTTTAACTTTGTTTTATTCAGCTTATCAAATAGTTTGGTGATCAACTGTTCCAAATGGTTTTTTTCCTTAATTTGAGTTTAGTCATATATCGAATAATAACAATTGTTTAATTCAATGAGATTAGTTACGGTCAAACTAAAAGTCATTTCTACTCGATTAATTTTAAAATACTTGAAAACAAAGTTTATTGACGGCTAAACGAAAACTTCTATGAATAATAAATGCGATTCTATAGAATTTTCTAATCATTTATAAGCATTAATTGACCTTTGTAGAGAATAAAATCAATATATTAATAATTGATAAATTGTCAAAATAAATTATTTAAGATATTTTCAGTCTTTTTTTCTGACATGTCTGTATAGGATTCGAAAAGGGATTATGTTGTAATTTTAGCTCTAATAAAAAAAAAAAAATTAGCCAAATAAAATATTTGCATCGATTTCAGTTTTGAATTGTATGAAAAAATCTGATTATATAAGATAAAGTTTTAATTCGAAATAGTTAATCAATAAATATTTTTATAATTGATTGTTTATCCTAATAAATCTTGAAAACAGGAAAGAATCTTTTCTTATAAGCCTTTACAGTAGAAATCATATTCAAATAAAAACTTTGATTAAAAAAGAATTTCCATTTTGTAATATATTATATATGCTACTAGAAATATATATTCTTCATATAATTGTTAAATAATTCTTAGTATAAATACTAATGAGAATCTTTCCTTTTTCTTCAATGTCATTTTTATGCTAAATTTGGTATAATAGCTTCGGTATAGGAAACTACCCGACACTTACAAATTTTGTTTTCGAAAATCTGAATTTTCTAATCTTTATCTATAATTGATAACGAAGAAAAATGGTTTAAACTTGAGGGTGTGGGTGGGTGCGGGTGTGTGGGTGCGTTTGACTGTAAATACTTACTTACATTCATATCCACACCCACACCCACCCACCCACCCCACCGACACCCACACCCTTGCTTTTAATTTCTGATTGAAACTAATTAAAATATTTAGTTTTTTTTGTGAAGTGAAAGTGATCTGTGTAAATCTTATAGAATGATCTATTTGGATGTGAGGGTAGGTGGACAAAAGAGACTTCTTCATCCACACCCTCCATTATTAATGATGACACATTATGATAATGTAGCATCTTTAGTTGAATATTGTACAAGATATCAAAGCATTATAGTTAAATGATTGACATCATAAGAAATTTGAAACTGTATACATTTCTATATAAAGAAAAACAAAAGCATAATAACAAAAGTAACAGCAAATGGATTACTCTATTTAGAAAAGAAGAGGCAATCATAAAATTGAGGATGTGTGTATTAATCGTTTTTTTTCTGACATCCACATCCGCACTCACACTCCATGGCTGAGTCGTAGAATACAAACGTCGATTCAGACTTATCATTTTCTAACTACACTCGATACTTTTGCCTAATGTTTCTTTGATAAGAGTATAGAAATCGAGCGCGATCATATCTATCTGAATTATTAGCAATCACACCAGTCGCTGAAATTCAGTAAAAAGCAAACATATAGAAAGGGAAAATATCGAAAACTAGAATCATTATGTTGGTGAAAAGGAGCAAATATGTAAAATAGTAGTTTATTGTATCAGTGATTTCCAGCATCATCATCATCATCACTATACACTCGTATTTTCAATTTTCGATATTTTCCTTTCGACCAAAGTTCAAAGTCTCCAATCAAACATATTAATATTTCATTCACACGCATGATGTACATTTTCATTTGTGAGTTTTGCCAAACAGTTAACATGTTTTAGGGTTAAAAAGATTATTTTAAAAAGTTAATTTTATTAAAATTTATTAGACATGTTAGTTTTTGAATATGAACAGTTTGTAAAGCTTAGGTAAAGTCTGAAATTTTTAGAAGATATTATAATTTATTATTCTTTTACTATTGATAAATTAATAGAAATATTTCACGAAGAAGACAAAACGTCAATTCGGACTTCAACTTGAATGATTTTAAAAGATAAAGTTCTGTTCGATGTTTAACACCATCTTATTTTGGGAAACAATTATAATTACTGTGGTAGAATAATTTAAATTATAATTTCTCTTCAAACTAGTTGTCATGTTGAAACTTCAGATTGTTTCGAATTTGTATAAATTAAACCGACATTAAATTAAGTATTAGTAATTGAGATCTAATTTAATATTCACAAATAAGAAGATAGACAATAGCCTTTATTCCATCTTTAAATTTCTTATAATAAAGAATTTAACATGAGAGAACATTTTGAATTTTTGTCTGAAGTTTTTGTATATCTGCATGATCTGGTGGGAGTGTTTTCGAAAGTTGCTCGATTGCTCTTAGATAAGCATCAATTGCTGCATCAAATCTTCTCAAACGAGTATAAGTTTCAGCCAAACATTCGTACGTTGTAGCCATAGTTGGTTCATCATCAGGTAAATTAAGAAATTCTATTTGTAATGCATTCTCATAATAAGTTAATGCCTCACTGTAATTACCAGTTTCAAAGTAAACTCTGGCTATGGTACTGTAAATATTTGCAAACTGATAATCATTGGCATCGATACACCGTTCAAGATAAGGAAGAGCTTGTTGATAGTGATACATAGCTTCAGAGAGTTTCCCGTTTTGATGAGAAATATTTCCAAGATGAAAAATAGTCTTCGAAAATAACACTATGTCTTCATTCGGAAACTTTTGTAAGTATTCTAGTGCTTTTTGCGCATGTTGTAAAGCTTCATCGTATTGTGAAATTTTCAAATGCATACGAGATACATTGAAGTATGTAGTGGCAATAGTCGAACAATTAATAATAAGAGTATTCTTTTCGATATCCAATTTCTTTCCATAAAAAACTAGTGCATCAGAATAATTTTCTAATTTCTCATAGTTTTCTCCCATTCTACTATAACACTCTTCGAGCGATCCATTTTCGTCATCACCAGCGATCTGCCTGAGAGACAGACTTTCTTTAAAGTAATCCATAGCTTCGGAATATTTTTTCTGTTTACTAAGTATATATCCTATTTGACCCATAAACTGTCCTAATTCTGATGGATTCGGGTCAGATCTTTTACGTAATTGTTTGAGTCCAGTGTATAGACATTCAAGTGCTCGTTCATATTGTGAGTCTTCTGAATAAGCCGTTGATAAATTCCAGTAATTGACAGCAAGATTTGGATCATCGTCAGGTAAAAAATTTAATTTATAGTCGAGCACTTTCTGATAGTACGGTATTGCTTCCTTGAATTTTCCTTTTCTGTAATAGGAGCCAGCTATAAGATGATGGGTGTCTGCAAACAATGGATTGTTGGGCAATAAATACTGATTTTGTAAATCAAGTGCACATTTGAAAGACTGAATTGCATCGTCGTATTGGCCTTGAGAAAAACTTATTCGCCCAGTTGCTAGGAATTGATTAGCGGACGAAATTGGATCGAAAGCTGAGGCTGTTTCTTGAATTTGTAAAGCCTTCCCATTATACGTTGCTAAAATAAAATAATATTGCTCAGAGCACAGTCCTATATTGAAGTGTATCGAGATTAAGAGATGGGCTTTAGACAGTAGTGAAGATACTTTCTATAGGAAAAAAATTTGACTTTCGCTGAGTAGATGGTGGTTCTGTTGCTTCTCTAAGTAAGTGTTACCGATCTGAACAAAGTAGAAAGAAAAAGATTGAAACGGGTCAAAATTAGGAAAATTTTCTGTCTAGGCCGAGACGATCAAGAATCAAAATGATTAAGATCAGGATTCACTATACGTATGTTTATCGAAACAACTAATTGTTTTTATTTCTATAGATTACATAATTCTCAACATCACAATGAAGGGTAAGTTTTTATTATAGAAAATGGCAATGTTTTTCTTTTATTTCGAGAGAGTTCATCTCCGAGAGGCTAACCAAACATTCATATAAATTTCTAATGATGAGATCGATTTTTGTATGACGATAAACAATGAGTATTCGTGAATAATTTGTCTTTGTCAACATATTTTTAAGACCACTTGAAAAATTTTCGATTTAATAAAACGATATATTAAGGAAGAAGTAATTATTGCTAATCATATCTATGATCAATGTCTCTGAAACTTAAGAATAAATTATAAATTGAAGGTTGGTTTTTCTATAAAATATAATCAGTGTTTAAATGTTTCTCGAACACAACCAAGTTTAGCCCGCCTGAAAATTCGATCTCAGTTCAGGAGCATCAAGATACCATGAAACTTTGAAGATAGCTTGGGACTATAAAAGGACGTCTATGATAAAATTTTCAGTCTCCTTTCCTCATGTATAAGGTGCCTACGAATCAAGCAAGGGTCGAAAAATAGATTATCGCATCCTCAAAAAATCTCTATAGGTGTTGATTTCATATTTTTCATTTAAAAGAACATGTCAGGATGCAGTGCCGATTAAGGTCCTTTTTTGTGTACTCAAAAAGTGAGTACACTCTAGAATTGGTCAGTATGCCCGGCCGTTTACATGATAACTTTTGAAAAGAGAGTCCGATTGCGATGAAATTTTCTACACATTTTAGTCTCAACAATATCTCGGTCGAGTTCGAAGATGAGAAGGATTGGCCGAGCCGTTCCTGAGTTATTGCAAAAATACTCATTTTTCCCTATGGCTTATTATAGGAAAATCGACCTATCTCCACATTCGCAAAATACTTTCCCTATCATAGTCAAATAAAACCCCAACTATTATATACCGTTGGATAGAGAATTTCACGAGCTACAAAATGGTATATAAAACATAAAGAAATAAGAAAGCTAGCATACCTATTGCAAGGATAAATCAACGGAAATCGACTCTGTTTTTGTCTGCGCTCTAATCAATCCACAATTAGAGCTCTATATTCCGATCACAGAGATAATACTTCGAGGTTTTCTGGGATGGAGAACTCGAATCTGTAATCCACTTGACTCGAAACCACATTGATTAAGCACTAACCAAGAGAAATCAAGTTATAGGAAAAACGACTTTATGAGAATAACTCAAGGCGAAGAGTTCAAATCTGAGCTGTATTCACCCAGAAATTCTATTGGTTGAGCAGTAGCCAATAGAATTCAAGTGTTTATAGGAAGGGTTTACCAGGCTAATCTTTATATCCATAGATTCTAGGATGACCGACTTGTCTCATTCACTTTTTGTAGTACACATAAATCTCGGATTTAAATCCGAGGTTTTCACATTTATTTATTCTTATCTTTAATAAGAAAAAACGGCTTCAGAAATTCAATCACTCAAAAATCCTTCAAAAAATTATGCTTATATTATAAAATCACTTTTCAATATAATAATAAGAAAGCTTTATCAAAAGAAGGCTCTCACAGGCACTGTAATTTTCGATGGTTTTTCAAAAAAAAATTGGCTTTATATCGGATTATAATTGAGTTTTGATGGATATGCGTCGTTCGAATACTACTTTGAGAAAAGAAGAAAAAGATTTTTGGATATTTCTAAAACCCGGTTTTTTCTCGAATAGGATTTGTCAAAAATCTTGAAAATTTTTCGGAAAAAAAGAGGTATCGAAGAAAAATTTCTATTGTTTATATAAGATCAGATGATAATCTATCCTCCTCTACATTTATCTCAATTTCAACGAATCTGATAAAAAGTGACTTTTGTGAAGAGAGAGCGTTAATTCAAGAGAATAACTTTCAACACATGAAAAAGAACAGCAGAACTTTAATTAAACATATTCAGTAAACAATTGTACAGTATATGATAATTTACATGTATTCTTAAATTCGTACTCTGATCGTATCGGTATGTCACTGATACATTTCTGGTTTCAATCATAAGGTATACTTTCCTTCTCATGTATAAAAATCAGACCAATCAAGAATTACTATTATATAGTATATTTTGGATTGTAAGCAAAAAATAAAATTCACTGATACCATTTAAACCAGTCGAAAATTTTTTGTCTCACGAATTAATGAGAATTGTTATCTAATAGACATTATTTATAAATGCAAATGCACTGAAGTCACCGGTACTAGTCACATCCTCTATATTCAATTTCGTTCTAGACGTTAAATTTCCCATAAATATGGCGCTGTAAACATAGTTATTTTGAAAATAACTTAGCTAATAGAATCATTTAATGAGATTTTTAGTTGCTTATTAGATGAAGAGAAACCGAAGAAAGTAGACGATTTCCTATAATAAATCGATGATAGGGAAATCTAGAATATGTAGAATATTTCTTAATTATTCTTTCATCATTCTTATTACTATTTTCTTTGACTTTAAAGTATAATGATTGAAACTCAATAATTACTCGATCCAACCAAACAAATAAAACATAATTTACCTGCTCCTTCATAATCTTTCATTTCGTAACATGTCTGCCCTAATGCACTGTAAATCTCCATTAATTTAGAATCATTTTTATTTTTATTTCCTTGTCGATATTCTAATGCACGTTTCTGATAATTTAATGCATCAGTATACTTTTTTAAAGCATTATGTACTTTAGCGATACTCATACAGTAAGTCACAAGTGAATCAAAGTCTGGATTCTGTGCATTTAGTTGGCAATCAATTGCTAATTGATGTTGAGTAAGTGATGCTTCGTGATATCCAGCTCTATGATAGATACTGCCGATAGTGTTATATATTGATGAAAGAGTAGGATCATTTGATGGCATATGTCCTAAAGCGATGTTTAACCCTTCGTACAAATATGTAAGAGCATTTTTCAGATGTCCAGCCGAAAAATATGCTGAACCTAATGCAAATTTCAGTTCACTCATTAAACCAAAAAGTTGAAATAAGATATTAATCTCGTTAAAAATCTTTTCCAAAGCTTCAATTACTTTGTACTGACCCAAATAATCTACAAGTTTGACTAAACTTATCAATGGATGACTACTTTGTATTTGTTTACGCATTTGTTCAGTATATTGAGCTAGATTTACATCAATATCATTACTTGAAGTTAAATATACTTCCCATTGATTATCGCTTAATTTTTCAATTTTATCAATACGAAAAACTGTTCCAATATTAAATAAAATTTCTTGTTCAGATTCTCCAATATTATTCATAGTACCAATATGAATAAACGAATTATTTTGTATGTTCGGATCAATATTCATTACAAATATAATCGAAATTTGATCAGTACTAGATTTAAATGGTTCTGCAAATTCACAAGCTATATTTCGATTGAGACTTGTTGAAAGAAAACTTCTGAATGCCAGAAGACCACCGATACCGTTCTTCAATTTATTGAAATCATCAGTTGACATACCTTGACCACGAAAAACAGTAATTCGTTCGGTTAATGCAGGTTGTTCAGCAGCTACAGATCGTATTTGTTGATCGAGAAGACGAAGAAAATAACGTAATCTATAAAGAACATCTGGTTCAGGAGTCCATAATGCTCTGTTTAATATTTTATGAAGAAAACATTCACGTGTATACCAAGTAATGGCAAGTTCAGCCGAGAATTCTTGATCAAATTCATCGATTATTCGAAGTTCACTATCATTATTCTTGTAAAGCGTTCTACAAAAATTGATCATTTCAAGACGCGTAAAAAGTTCATTATCAATCATAGATTGCTTCAATAAAATTTCATTCAGTAATTGACTATACATAAAAGATGGGTCTTGACGAGTTCCAGCTGCAATTTCTGACGATGAGACAATTGAAATAGCAACAGATTCTTTTGGTCGTTCAGTAGTTTCCGGTTTCAAATGGTCACTTATCGATTGAAAATTATTCCATACTTGACCTTCGACTTTTTTATATTCGGAAATCCATGATATTTTTTTCGATTCATCTGTATCATAAATATAAATAGAATGTAATTGTGCTATTTCATGAATTAGTGGAACAATATTTCCACCAAATGATTCCGACAGAACGAGTGAAATCCGTTCTTTATTATTATCTCGATCAGTAAGAAAATCGACACATGTATCAGGATCAGAAAATATTTCGATCGAGTCGACTATACCTGAAAATAGTTCACGAGTTTTAGGGTGATGTTCCGATGTAAACAGTTTTGTATCGAGCCAGATGAGAAGAAGAT